GGGAATTTTCATGGCACTGGGGATTGTAAAGAGGGAGACAGCCCAGGGCTGGACCTGGGGCCCTGTGGGATCAGGGTGAGGGTGTGGGAGACTTTTCCCAGCCACAGCTGCTGGCCACTCCCTACCCAGGGATTCTGTGGCTCGCAGTTTCTCCAGTATTTGCCTTCCCTCTCCTGGGACGGTCAGGCTCCGGTTTGGGGGCTGCTCTGTGTGGGTGGGAGGGTGGGAGGTAGAATTCTTATGTTCCCTGCAGTTCATTTGTCTTCCCTTCCCATCCCACCCCCTCAATGCCCTTTCCGTTCAGTTTCCCAGACCCCAAGCAGAGAGGCCTAAAGTTGACTCTCCTCGGGCCTGGGGATTCACCTTAGGCTCAGAAGCCCCTCAGAGCTAAGAATGTCTTTTTCTATGTTTTTATAGACTGGGGGGGAGGGGGGGGGAGGCTGAAGGCAACTCCCCCTGAAGCCTTGACCAGAAGACTCCTGAGGGAAGTGGGGAGAGAAACCAGGTCAAATGTGCTGCTTGGGCAAGCCAGGAAGCTTCTAGAAGTTTGAAGAGAGACAGGAGGGAGTCAGTAGAGCATGTGGAGGGAGAAAGAGCTGAGTTCAAACCCTGCCTCAGACATTTACTACCTGGGTGACCCTTGCCAAGCCCCTTCTGAGCTCTCTCAGCCTCAGTTTCCCCACCTGTAAAAGGAGGAGAATGATAGTACCTCCCTCCCGGGGCCATTGGGAGGCTCGGACGAGGCACCCTAGAGGACCTTTGCCAACCTCAAAGTATCAGCCATTACTCACGTGAGTCTCCCCTTCCCCATGTGCCTGTTTGAGCTTTCTTTTCCCTCTCCCTGTGGGGCCTCCCCGGATGGGAGTCTGGCCAGGCCCTTCCCCCAACACCAGGCATTGTGTCTGCGTCTGGCTCTCTCTCTCTCACACACACACTCACACACACGTACACACTCTGCCTCTCACACACACGCTCACACACATACACACTCTGCCTCTTACACACACACTCTCACACAAACATGCACACACTCACACACACACTCTCGCACACACATACACTGTCTCACACACATACACATACTCTAACACACACTCACACTCTCACACACATACACACTCACACATACGCAGTCTCACACACATACACATGCACACACACTCTCTCACACACATACACACACATACTCATACACACACACTCTCACACATTCTAACACACACTCACACTCTCTCACACACACATATACACTCTGTCCCACACACATACACACTCTCTGTCATACACACTCTCACACACATACACACATTCTCACACACACTGTCTCTCTCACACACTCACACACACTGTCTCTCCCACACACATACACACACAGACTCTCACACACTCACACACACACTGTCTCACACACACTCTGTCTCTCACACACACACATATACACACTCTGTCCCACACTCACACACACTCTCACACACATACACACACATACACACAGACTCTCTCTCACACACTCACACACACACACTGTCTCTCCCACAGACTCACACACTCACACACACACACTGTCTCACACACACTGTCTCTCACACACACATACACACATTCTCACACACACACTTTCTCTCCCTCTCTCTCTCTCTCTCTCTCTCTCTCTCTCACACACACACACACACACACACACACACACACACACACACGAGCCTCACTCTTCCTGAAGGAGAGAGCCCAGGATAGGGAGGCCTGGGAACTCCTGAGGTCTGCCTCAGCCTCAGCACTGGCCCCCCTCTGCCTTTGGTTCAAGACTGGGCTTCCGCCTTGCCAGCCCTTCAACAGGAAAGGTCGCCTATGTAGGGCAGGGCTGGGTGGGCTAGCCCACCCTCAGCTCAGGTCCAGTCGGCCCTTTCTGGAGGGGTGGGTGTTGAGGTGGGACTTGGCTCGGGGGCCCGATGCAGTCACACTGGTTCCCTTCGCTCCGGCCTTCCTCATCAGAGGGCAGTATGTGTCAAGCGAGGGGTGAGCCTGTAAAAGGCTGTCATAAAGACGCCTTTGAGCAGCCCGGGAGGGGGGGGGTGGGAGGTGTGGGCCAGAAAAGGCTCTTAAGAAAACCAACCAACTTGTTTTGCCCAAAGCTAAACACAACAGCTCCAATTTGGGCCTTGGGGGGAAGTGTCCGCCTCCCCTCAATGGACCCAGACGGGAAACTCCTTCCTCCTCTTTGGGCCAGGCCAGGATAAAGGCCATACTGTTTCCCCCCTCCTTCCTCCCCACCATAGGGAAGAGAAAGGTACTTCTGTCCCCAGTACAAGTGCCTTATTCAGGGCCTGGGTGGCTGGCTGTCCCCCTAAAGCCAGCAGGGCCCAGCACAGCCACCATGACCATTCCAATCTGAGCCAATCCTTCCCCAGGACAGGGATGGCCTGGTCAGTTCATGTCAGAGTCACCGCTACAGACCCTGTCTTAAGGTGGGAAGCAGAGGGGGCAGAGCAGGGCCAGGGAAGGGGAGCATCTCAGAGCAATGCCAAGCATCCTTCATGGGAGTCCTTGAGGCTCAAAGGTGGTCAGCCCCCTTAGCCAGCTGTGGGAGAGGGGCTAGCTCATTGTTCAGGAGTAAAGCAGAGAACATCCTTAGCATATGGGCACATGAGGGGAGGCAGCTAGGTGGCTCAGTGGATAGAGCACCGGCCCTGGAGTCAGGAGGACCTGAGTTCAAATCTGGCCTCAGACACATAATACTTATTAGCTGTGTGACTCTGGGCAAGTCACTTAACCCCATTGCCTAAAACAAACAAGAATATGGGGACATAAGGGACAGCTAGGTGGCACAGTGGATACAGCACTGGTCCTGAAGTCAGGAGGACCTGAGTTCAAATCTGGCCTCAGACCAAACACTTGAGACTTACTAGCTGTGTGACCCTGGGCAAGTCATTTAACCCCAGCTGAATATAGGGACATGGGTTCTGCCACTCCCATCTAGGGGCACTTGCTGTGTGACCCAAAGCTAATAAATATCCCTTTCTGTACCTTGGTGTCCTTGTTTGTGTATGCATACATACATACATATACACATATAGATTCTCTCTCTACATGTGTCTGTGTGTGTATGTATGTATTTCCCTCCACTCCTTGGGAGCTGATAGGAGTCAGGGGTGGACATGGAGCTTTCTGAAATGGCCCCAAGGGATATCTTGGAGATATTTTATATTCTTCTCTTGGGTCAACTTGGGTTTCTAGAACCCATTGTAAGTCACACAGGCCACATAGACACATAGCTTAAGGCTTCTTGGATTCTTTGAAGGGGTAGGGGTCAATGGTTATGGCATGCTAAATACAATGTCAGATTTCTTCAATATGTTAGTTTTGCTGAACACTCCTCCCTCCTTTTAATTCTTTGTTGTAAAGGATACCTGTCTAAGAGGGAAAGTAAGGAGGAATGCATTAGAAAATGTAAGTGATATAAAAACAAAAACAATTAATAAACATTATTTTTTAAAACTGTTAAGGAAGTGAATTGCTCTGAATGCAAATGTGGTTCTCTTCCCTTCTCAGTCCCTAGACTGCCCATTCCTTTGAGGTTAGGGAGTGGAGAACAGTAATAGTGGAAAGTCTGGGTTGGCTTGTCCTTTGGACAGGGACGGCCACTCACCATTCTCCATCTCCGCTGAGGGCAGAGCTGGAGGAATGAGGATGAAATAACCACCCTGGCCATTTAGGTTAGACAGTGGGGTGAACCTTGGCTTGAGTCCTCCTAGGGCCGTGGCTAGGAGTCCCTCCCCTAAGGCATTGCTCAGTGCAGGGACAGTGGGTAAGATCTGGGAGACCGGTGTTCTAGGTCCCTCTTGTCTGCTTTGCCAACATCCTGCCGTGGATGGCATGGTGGAAAGAGTGAAAAGACCTGGTTTTGACCTGTAATGTTGGCCAAGTCCCTCCATTTCTCTGAGCCTCAGTTTCCTCATCTGTAAAATGAGGGCCCTGGATGAAGATAACCTCTAAGATCCCTTCCAGCTTGAAATTTATGATCCTAACAATTTTAAAACCCTTCTTTCGCCATCCCATCCCTGTCTTTGTCTGCCAATACAAGGTCAGCAAGAATATAGTCCCAAGGCAGCTAGCATACCTGCACAGGTAACTGCTGCTCCCCAGCTTCCGGCTCCTCTGACTACCCCAGCACCCCTTCATTCACCTTCCCCACCAGCCTCTTCTCTGCACCCTAGCAACAGCTGCTGTAATGGAGAAAGCCATGAGAATTCCGGGTCTCTTGTGATTCATGGGGCTCTAAGGGAAGAGATGGGCCATATGCCTTTGCCAGGGACCCAGAAAGGGAGCATGACCTGTTAGCCTTCTCCAGACCCAGTGGGGTCTCCCAAGCTCTGCTCTTCCAGAAGGTGCAGGACCAAGTTTCCACTTCCATTTTTGCCGCAATATGAGAAATGTTCCGTCCACGAAAGCCCTCCTGTGATCCCCACTCATGGCTTGCATGACCTCAGAGGCTACATCAAAGATGCACAAGCTCTGAGAGCTCTTACCAAGCTGTAAAGGTTTCAATAAAACTTAAGCTTCCTGAGGGCAGGAGCCATTTCTGTTTTTATCTTTGCATCCCTGGTGCCCGGCATAGAACAAGCACTTGATAACTGCTAATTCATTGAAGGAGGCCCCAGAGAAGGACTACGTACATATCTGTTGTCCAGTGACCAGCCTTGCCCACTCAGAGAGGATCATCACCAGGTTGGCATCATGGCCATCCATTTTTGACTACAGCAATTCTTGAAGACCATTTACTAAGCTTTAAAGAGGGTTAATCTGCCTCAGGAGGAGTACCCATGCCCGCAGAATTACAAGTCCTAGGGTCATCAGAGTATGGGAATGGGCCAGTCTACTTCATTTTCCATTCCTTGGCATGTAGCAAATGATAACAGAGAGGCCGGGCTGAATCTTAGAGAGCAACTGTCATTCACTATTGTCTATGTCACCGGCCTTGCTCTCTCTTCTCTTTCTCCCTCCAGAGCTCCTATCCCATCTGGGAAGACTTCAATTCGAAGGCCACTAAGCTACACTCTCAGCTCAGGTGAGGCAGTCCTGCAGCTCCTCAGTGGCACTGGGATGGGTGGGGCTGGGCACCCCAAAGAAGCCATCTTCAAGACCCCCAATGGGCAGCCCAGGCTCATCATGTTGCCCACTCCCTCTCCTGGTGCCCAGCTGGCATGGCCCAAGAGAACAGAGGCAGCCTGAGGATTCCTCCCAGCTGTTTGGCTGAGTCTTATCCCCATGGGAGGGGTCCATAGCTCAGACTCCTGACTTTGATCAGGGGTGGGCTGCAAGAGAATCAGCTCTTCCAATGACTCTGCCATCCTCCTGTCTCCCTCAGGACCACGGTCCTGGCTGCAGTTGCTTTCCTGGATGCCTTCCAGAAAGTGGCTGATATGGCCACCAACACCAGAGGTAGGAGGCTGGAAATGGGGAGAAGGAGGGCAGGGAAGCAGGAGTCAGGGAATAGAACAGGGACAGGGGATGCAGAAAGCAACAGGGATATGCAATGTCACAACCAGTGGAAGGGGCGTAAGACCCAGAGTTGGGTTCTCAAACTTGCTCTGAATTGTTGGGCAAGTTGCTTAACCTTTCTGGGCCTCATTTCCCCACCATTCTATGAGAGGAGGATAATTACTGTTCTTCACCCCTAAGGGTATATACCAAGGGCAAGTGAGATCATGTCTGAAGAGGGCTTTGAGCTCCTTAGGGGCCCAGAGCAGTTCTGGTATTGGTCTACCCTGTCTAACAAGCAAGCAGCACCATGGACAACTCCAGGGTCAGGTCTGAGGTGGGGGAGACCAGAGACTCCATCTGATTCCATCAAACGGGATGGACACCTGCTGGAGCTGTCTGCCCCTTGTCCTCACAAAAAGATTCGCGGTGAAAGCGGGCTTGTGGTCCAGAGAGTTTCATCCCTCAGCTGCTCCGGGTGCTGTCAGCAAGGACTGGAGAGGCTTCTAAGGTTCTGAGGATAGTCACAGACACATGTGACCAGTAATTGCAAATAGAGAACAGTACTAGATTTGGATTCAGAAAGCCTGGGTTCAAAACCTGCTTCTGCCACCTACTTCCTGACCTTGGGCAAGTCAATCGACCTCTGTGGGCCTCAGTTTCCTCATCTATAGAATAAACAGGCTAGACTAGGTGAACTCTAAGATCTCCTCCCATTCTAAACCTATGATCCTATGAATTGAGAAGGAACTCCCAATCAATTAATCAATACTTATCAGTTAATAAATTAAATTAATTAATTTTAATTTAATATTAAATCAAATCAATACTTATCAGTTAATGAATTAACTAATTTTAATTAATTACAGATTAAATAAGTTAATAAACATTTTATTTCTTAGCTTCCTAGGTTCCCTGTACAAAGAAATTTAAGACATGGGCCTCCACCCTTAAGGAGCTCCCTCCCTGGGGTGACAGTGAATTATAACTAATGACTAAAGGCAGTGAACAATCACTTCAGATTAAAGTGGTCCTGGAAGGTTTCATGGTGGAGGTAGCACTGAAGATTGGATAAGATGGATGTTGGACTGGCCCTTTTCCTCTGTATCTCAGTAGCTTTCCAGAGAATTGGCAATGATGGGCTTAGCGCATGACCTTAGCACTGCCCCATTAAATCTGTTCATTCATTCAGCAAGCATTTATTAGGCACCTACTATGTGTCAGGCACTGGGGATATAAAACCAAAAATGAAACAGACCTGGACCTCAAGAAGCTTGCATTATACCGAGAGGAAGCACCGTGCGTTCATGTGACTAAATACAACACATGTACAATGTTAACATCGGGAAGGATGGCCATACCAACTGAGGGGAATGTAGAAGGTAGCATTGAGCTGAGTACTGAAGAAAGCTTTCGAGAGGTAGTGATGAGGAGGGAAGGCATTCCAGGCACGGGGCACAGCCTATGTAAGAGGATGGAGTTGGGAAAGAAAGTCTTGTGCAAGGAACAGTTTGGCTGGAATGTAGGGTACCTAAAGGGCAGTGAATTGTAAAAGACCAAGGGAGAGTAAACACTGCTTCCCCTGAAAAGAGAAGGCTCACAGGGTTGGCACATGGCTGTCCCCAAAGGACCTGGTGGCATAACACTCCAGGGATGAGTGATGACCGAGCCTTGGCCTTGAACAGGGTGGGAGCCAGCAGGGATAGCCAACTGGACACAGTGTTCCCACCCCACCTCTGCCTGCCCACTCTTCCCTTCTACACCCTGACTCTGGGATAGTAAGCTCATTATGCCCATAGGCTTGAAACACAGAGCCCACTCTGTCGGACTAGGCAGAGTTCTCTAGTCTGGCTGGTGGGCAGTGAAGCAAGACATCACCTCCCTGAGTCAGGGAGGTGGAGGCGGTGGTGGTGGAGGTGAGTGGGGACCTCCAGGGGCCCAGGGAAGACAGCTAGCTGTGGTCAAGGGCCTGGACACTCGGGGAGGCTACCAGTCAACAGTCAACAACATTTAGTAAGTGCTTACCAAAGGCAGAAATACTTGAGTCAGGCATTGGGTTCAGCCCATTGTGAGAAGAGACAGAAAGGGACCCTTGAAGTCCCAATAACATCACCCTCTACGGAGAAGAACTCTTCATCTTTGGGGCAGGGACCTGATCTGACCAACATGGGCCCTGCGGGGCACAAGGGTTAAAGATTGGTGCCCCCCTTGAACAAGAGCTCCCATCACCCCCCAGTAGAGTACCCAAAACATAACTGATTTGGGCAAGTTGCTCCCTATACCACCCTGGTGACCCCCTGGTGCCCATTTAGATTGGCATGGCAAAGAGAAAGGATAGGCATGTGCCATTTCTGACCCCTGTAGTGCAGACACCTTTGCCTTTTTTAGAATCTCTAAGGGAGGCTAATGATCAGGAGAGAGGCTTGAGGAGGGTTAGGAAGGAACAATTCTGCCCACGGGCACACAAGCTCGACATCTCTCCCACTCCCAAGTGGCAGTGGACAAAGGGATCTCGGACCCAGCTGAGGAGAGTCAGTGTTGGACTTGGAATCAAGAAAACCTGGGTTCAGACCTGCCTCCTATCCTAACTGTGGGACTCTGGGCAAGCCACTTAATATTTATGGGCCTCAGTTTCCTCATGTGCAAAATAAGGAGGTTGGACCTGGTGACCTCTAAGATCTCTTCTAGCTCTAAATTATAGTCTATGACCTCAGAATCCGCAGTAAAAATACCCAACAAATACCCATCCAGCCTCTGCCGGAAGACCTCCAAGGAGGAGGAAGCCTCCACCTCTGGGGCAGCCCATCCCCCCATCCTGCCTTGGAACAGCTCTGAGAATTAGGAAATTTCTTCCTGACATCAAGACAAAATTGGCTTCTTCACAGCCTTCTTCCATTGCTCCTGGTTTTGCCCTCTAGACCAAACAGCACAAACCCACCCCCTCATCCCCAGGATGGCCCTTCCAATACGTTGTGTTCTTTAGCCTGAGCGCCGCGGAGAAAGTGGAGCCCTGGGAACCAGAACTAGGGCGAGATCTCTGTGCTTACAAGCACCCAGCTCTGGGTTATTTGGAGGGGCTTGTAACATGGAGAGTAGACTAGTGGGAAATGTCTGTCTATACCCCAGACCTGGGTACTGGGGAAGGCTAGCCCAAGTGGGTAGGACATTGGTATGGCTCCATCCTGGATTATTCCAGATTCTGCCTCCGGCCCCTTTTTGCTCCTCAGAAGAGCAACCATGCTCTTTCTTTTTAATTTAAAATGTTAATTAACCTAATAATAGTATTTATAAAGCACTTAAAAGTTTAATTTAAATTTTTTTATTTTTTCCATATGCTTTTGAATTGAAAATTTTTCTCCCTTTTCCTCCCCCCACCCTCCCCAAGACGGCGCACAATCTGATATAGGCTTTACATTTACATACCCATTAAACATATTTTCACATTAGTGAAGTTGTAAGTAAAAATTAAAACAAATACGAGGAACCATCAGAAAGATGAAACAAAACTAAACAGAAGGTAAAAATAAGTGATAGCTATTCGACTTCCATAGTTCTTTCTTTGGATGTGGACAGCATTATCCATCCCGAGGCCTCTGGAAATGTCTTAGATCCTCATAATGCTGAGAAAGGTTCAGTTTAACAATCTTAGTCATTGCATAACGTGGCTGTCATTGTGTACAAAGTCCTCTTGGTTCTGCTCACTTCACTCAGCATCAGACCATATAAGTTAAAGCACTTAAAAGTTTGCAATGCACTTTACATCCCATTTGATCTTCAAAGCAACCCTGGGAGATAGGTGTTATTATTATCATTCCTATTTTATAAATGAGAGAACCGAGGCTGAGAGAGGTTATGTGACATACCAGGGGTCACCCAGATATTAAGGATGTGAGGCTGGATTTGAACTCAAGCCTTCCTGACTCCAGGTCAGGTTGTAGAACTCGATCCATAGTACTGCCCAGCTGCCTCATTTGTTTTCTTTCCCTCTTGCTACCATTTCCCTCACTGAACGAGAAAAAGAAAACTCCCATGATAAATATACATAGTCAAGCAGAAGTTCCCATGTTGTATGTCTCATCCTACATACTGAGTCCTTCCTTTCTCTGTCAGGAGGTGGGTAGCAGGCTGCAACATTGCTCCTCTGGGATGGCTGGTCATTCATCGACCAGAGTTCTCAGGTGTTTCAGAACTGTTTGTCTTCACAGTGTTGTTGTTATGACATAAATTATTCACTTGGTTCTCCCTTCATTCTGCATCAGTTCATAAAAGTGTTCCTAGGTTTCTCTGAAACCATTCCCTTCATCATTTCCTATGGCACAATACTATCCCATTATATTCCTCAAGAGATGAGCACCCTCTAAGTTTCCGGTTAAAAAACAACTCAACCCTTCTCTCTGTTCTCTTGTGGTGTTCCCCTGGGGTACCACTGGGGGTTCTGCCCAAATGCATGTCAGCCCTATGATTAGGGAAATTCTAGGGATGGTTCCTTGACACGAGGCTCAGAAACACCTAGGAGCACTGAAGGGCACCATCCAGGATTGCCACTCTTATCCTTTGCAAGCCTATAGTATAAGATCCTATGGAGATGTCAAAGATCGGTCAACATTTCCCAAGATGAACCACCAGCTTCCCTAAAGGGAGGGAGGCAGCCCCTGGCATGTGGCAGTGTGGGTCCTGGTCACTGTGCTCTGGGTGGAGGTAGGGAGTGGTAAAGGGGAATGCCAGCTGTCCAAGTCCTGTAGCTGAGTGGGCCCTGCCACTTGGACCTCTGCCTATCCTTCCTTGAAGCTTGGAGCTTCCAGACATGTTAGGAATGTGCCTCTAGTCAAACCCTTGAGGGCAGCTGGCATCTCAGACCCCAGCCCATGGGGCCAGTGTCCATTTTTATTCAGGCATCTGGTATTTATTCAATTCCACTGAGTTCAGCAAATATTTATTAAGCATCTTCTGTGTACAGAGCCATGGGCCCAAGGCTGAGGGAAACATGAAGTATAAAAAAGCTTTAGTCCATTCTCTCTTGGAGTTTACTGTTAATGACACCTAGAATTTAGTGCTTTAAGATTTACGAATTTAAAAAAAAAAAAAAGATTTACAAAGCCCTTTACATACATTACCTCATTTGATCCAACCCTGGTAGAGGATTGGGGCGAGGGGGGAAGGGGAGGGGAGAAATACTTCTATTATTCCCATTTTACAGATGAGAAAACTGAGGCTGAGAGGGTAACTGACTTGCCCAGGGTCACACAGCTAGTAAGCATAAAAGGCAGGATTCAAACTCAGGTCTTCCTACACTATCTTGCTAGGAGAGTGCTTGCAATATGCAGGGCACTATGTTTAGTGTTGAGGGCAGGGGACTGGTATACAGAGGAGTATACATTGCCCCTGCCCTCCCAGAGCTTAAAAGTCCATTAGGGAGATGGGCTATGTGCATAGCAAAAGGCTGAAGGCATATGTGATAAAAAGTGGAGATGCACTGGATTCAAAACAGAGGACATGAGCGTCTAGATAAAACTTAGTAGCTTTGTGACCTCCGAAAGCCACTCTCCCTCTCTGGGCCTCAGTTTCCTCCTCTATAAAAATGAAGAGGTTAGACTAGATCATCTCTAGGGTCCCTACTGGTGTTAAATCCCCTGATCCTATGATAAAGATGATGAGAGCTCCAGCAATAATACTGAAACTGGCCTTGGATGGACGTCGGCTTAGGAAGAGAAGGCATTCTCAACACTGACAATGGTAATGATCAAAGCAATAGAGGTGAGTGAGTGTGAGCGTGGCTCCAGGAACAGGATCACCGGTCTCACAACCACGGGGATAAGAGATGATTCCAGCCTCAGGACTTTGTAGGACTTAGAATCGGTGAAGTAGAAGGAGCCCGGGGGAGTCAGGAGAGGAGTTCAGTTTCCAACCTTGGACAAATGATTCTCTCTGGGTCTGTTTCTTCCTTTATAAAAAAAAAAAATGGGATAGGACTATCTAACTCCTTCCTGTAAGATTTCTGACCAGCTTTTACATTCTGTGTGTCTATGGAAACCCTCAAGTACTATATGAGACTCAAGCCTTCCCTCTTTCTCCTCCCTACCCACTGCTTCTCTTCCCCAGCTAGGCCTGGGCTGGGCCAGGTGGCCTGCAGAGGCTTGAGGACAACATGGGAGCAGACTGGGAAGATGTCCAGGGAGGTGGACAGGGAAATAGGGAGGTGGCCAAGTTGGAGCGGGAGGGTGCTGGCCGCTCCCCAGTGCTGGACATTTCTGTGGGCAAGCATTGCCCTCTGGCGGCCAGCAGGAGGACCTGCCAGAGACTCAGTGTCCCGGGCAGTGGCAGCAGCAACCCAGGCCCTCCCCCAACCCCACCCTCCTTGAGCATCCTTGGAGAGCCAGATCTGTCCCATGACAGCCTCTCAGCATGGAAGGGACTCTTGTTTTTCCAGGGGCCACAAGAGACATTGGCTCAGCCCTCACCCGGATGTGCATGCGTCACCGAAGCATTGAGACCAAGCTTCGGCAGTTCACCAAGTGAGTAGGGTTGGCAGGGGCTGAGGCCAGGGCTGGGACCCACACTAGGCCCAGGGAGGCCTCCTCACCCCTGATTCTTCCAAATTTTGTGGGGCGGGGACCCAACCTCTCCCTCACAGCTAACCTTGTTCATGCCTACAAGGGGGACATGCCACCTGGTCACGGCCAATGGGAAATTTGCATTTCTAATCTTCCTCCGGCCCTTGCAGCGCCCTGTTGGAAAGCCTCATCAACCCCCTGCAAGAGAGGATTGAGGACTGGAAAAAAACCGCCAACCAGCTAGACAAGGACCATGCAAAAGGTGCTTACGAAGGGAGGGAAGAAGAGGGGGAGGAGCGGTGTCAGGTGAGGGGGGCCAGGAAGGTTCGGTTGTTGGGTGCACATCTCAGTGGCCCCCGTGGCATGGGTCTTGTTTTCATTCCTCTCTTCCCATTCAGAGTACAAACGGGCTCGCCATGAGATCAAGAAGAAATCATCAGACACACTAAAGCTGCAGAAGAAAGCGCGAAAAGGTAGGGCCCCCCAGCCCGAGGAAAAGGGTTCTAGTTACAGACATTGGGAGGGACAGGGTGAATGGTATAAAGACCCGCCGATCTGTGTAGCCGAGAGCCTACGGGTGGGCGGCATCCCCTCCATCCCCGCCCCAGTGGGGGAGGCAGCGTCAGGGTTTGTGGGCATGGTACAGCAGGCAGACCCTGCAGGAGCCCACATAGCTTCTGGCTTTCTGCCAGGGCATCTCCCAATGCTTTGCATTGTTCCAAGAAGGAAAGAGGCCAATGAGGTGGCCGTTGGTCTTTTGCAAAACCAGCTAACCAGGGTTCCTCCTGGCTGGCATCTTAGGGAAGGATCTCAGGTTGGCTTTAGGGAAGCCTCAGGGTGATAGAGCTCTAACACACACACACTTAACATAAGCCCCTCTAGAAACTGCCCACCTCATCTTCAAGAACCCTCCCACCTGACAAAGGGAGTTGTTAAGAGGGAGCCCAGGGAGGGTCAAGGGGTTCCACCTACTTCCCCTCAAGATGAGAGAAATAGCTCCTGTCCATCAGCTGTCTTTCACACATTCTCTCTTTCTCTCTGTCTCTCCCTTTCTCTCTTCTCTTCTTTCTCCTCCCTCCCACATCCTTCCTGTAGAGCTACTTGGTAAGTCAAATGTTGTCGCTGTCTGTTCCAGCTGGCCTCCCTGGCCCTTCCTCAGGCCCTTCTCTCCCAGCCCCTCACCCTGCTTTCATGTCTGTGTCGCATTTCTCTGTCTCATATCGCTCCAAGGGGGCTTGGAATGAACCTTTCCAGACCGCAGTATCAAGGAAGCCCGGTCATCCTGGAGAGATTGGGGTGGGAAGGCAGTAAGGTGTCTGCTCAGTCTCTTCCACCTGGTTACATGAGTCCTCCCTTCTCTGATGTCCCAGTGGGTTTGGTCTTCAGTAGCTGTTATTGTTCCCCAGGAGAATCTGGAGGGAGGGAGGCATGATCCCATCTTCCCAGGTATGAGGCAGAATGGTATCAACCCAACCTACTGCCTTCTGGAAATTGGTGAAAGGAGCCGTTATGGGACCTCAACTCAACTCTGCTTTGGCCATGGCTGTCCCACAGCCAATGACATGGGGTTCATTACATGTCTCCCTCCCCCTGCTAACACCCTGTCTCCCTTTCCCCTGTATCTCATCTTCTGTCCTTCATACACACTCTCTTTCCTTCATTCTCTCATTTTCTTTCTTTCTTTCCGTCTCTCGCCACACTGTTCCTGGGGGAGGCAGTCATCTGGGGTGAGCCCTGGGGCTAATGCTGAGACCAATTTGAATGGGCTTGGGCTAGCCCCCTCCTTCTGGAATTCCCTCCCCACTGTCTCCATCGGGAGCTCAGGGAGCAGGACAATTCAAACCTTTCAGTTGTTTTTTGTCCCTTGCAGTGAGGAGGTGCACCCTCCTCATAGCGTAGCCCTAAGGCTGTTATACCTCTACTGGCCTTCACCATAGTAGGTAACCAGAATGGGAAAACATTTCCCAGTCCATTCTTGGAGCCCACAAAGCCCATAGCTATGTGCTTTGTACCACCCTCAGGCTCAGCATTTGCCTTGTCCCATCCTCATCTGCCCACTCCAGCTGCATTCTGGGAAACTGTCTTGTTGCCGCCTCTCTCCTGCTCATATGGTCTTCTCGGCCCTGGACGGGGTGGAGGGTGACAGGAGTGCCTGGTTCCTATTCTTTGGACTCACATCAGAGGAGGCCTCTGAAAATCTAGTCCCTTTGCCCCTGGCCACCAAGCAACAGTTCCCAACATGCACTGCTTCTATTTTCACCTAAGTGGGTGAGCCACGTGTGTGCTTGGGTCTGCAGTCTCCGCCCGCCATGTTGCTGCCTCAGTGCAGGGCATCTCTGGCCTGCGCTCCCAGACAGACCTTTCCCTGACACCTGAGGCCCCAGGTGGCCCTGCAGCTTTGGCTCTGGCTTTTGGCATCCTCCATACTTGTGTGTTTTTGTGTGCCTTCTCGCCCTCCCTGTCTGGGACAAGCTCTCCACGCCCACCCCTGCTGCATGGGTCGCTGCATATTCTGCCCTAGATCGAGACCCTACAAGGCCCTGGGCTCCTCCCATCATGTGGGCTCATGCTTTCCCTCCAGCCTCCACCCCTGCACCTATGGAAAGCCCCCACTGCAGGCAGAAGCCTTGCCTTGCTGGTCAGGACTGGTGCTCTCTGTACCCTTCCGCAGACTTGTGGGGAGTGAGAAGGCTGAATAAAGGGGCCTTCTCCCAGAGAGGAGCCTGGCTTGGCCCACTTGGGGAGAAGGGTGGCCTCCCCATCTGGGCATCTCCTCCTGTCCTCCACAGGGAAAGGGGATTTGCAGCCACAGCTGGACAACGCCCTCCAGGACGTAAATGACATGTATCTGCTCTTGGAGGAAACAGAGAAGCAAGCTGTTCGGCGAGCCCTGATTGAGGAGAGGGGGCGATTCTGCACCTTCATCACCTTCCTACAGCCTGTAGTGGTATGCCGCTACCAGCGAGGGTGGGGCAGGAAATATGCTGGAGGAGTGAGAAGAATGCATTCTGAGCTGGCTCCCCAAAGCCTTCTCCTTAGAGCCTAGGGGTGGACCTCTCCCTCACCATCAGGCATTGCATATTCTGGCATGATGATAGAATGAGGGGCTCTGAGGAACTGAATATTCTAATCAATGTAAACTTCTAACTTGGACCATGCCATCCCTTTCCTTTGTATCTCCAGGACCTAGCTGGGTACTTAGCCCAAGCAAAGGAAGGGCTAGATAAATTCTTTATTGAATAGAGAGCTGCCGTATAGGGCACACCCAGATGACCATTTTCCAAGGATTCTAATACTTCTGACAAAACCAGTTGTGAACTCGTGTTTCTTGAGTGGTTCAGGAGCCATTTCAGGATTGTAGCCTAGGAGTTCTTTTCTGTATCATAGACCCCTTTGACAACAGACTGAGGGAGCTGACAGACCCCTTCTCAGAATCACTTTTTTAAATGAGTAAAATAAAATATGTAGAATTACAGAAGAAACCAATTAATACTGAAATGCAAGTACCGCAACTTTTTTTTCAAAAACAAGTTCATGGACACCCCAAGCTAAGACCCCATTGAGCTTTGAGGGCAGGAGGGAGGGAGAGAAAACAGGATGCCAGGCCTCAGTATAGTCTCCCAATCCTGTACCACGAAGGAATCAGGCTGCACCTAAGAGAGGGGTGCAGTGTCCCTCTGTAGCGGAACACTGGAAGAGGAGGATGGGAGATAGATCCCACCCCCCGAGGACAGGTGTGATGATGTTTGCTGACCGTCCCCTTTGGCTTCCTTCCTCCCTCCCAGAATGGAGAGATTACCATGTTGGGAGAGATCACTCACCTGCAAGGCATCATTGATGACCTGGTGGTGCTGACTGCCGAGCCCCACAAGCTGCCCCCAGCCAGTGAGCAGGTGAGGGCTCTTTGGGAGGGGAAATTGTGGCCAGTGGCCTGCACATCACTGGGCACACATCTGTGCCTGGGGGAGGAAGGCCAGGAGAGATGTCTGGGAGAGAACAGAGAAAGCCAGGCAGCTATGGGTAAGGAGGAAGGGACAGAGTTTGCCTGGAGTGGCACTCTTAGCTCTGGCCCATTAAGGAAGGCTTATGTACAGCATGGTCAGAAGCACTCACGTGAGCCATGCAGACTGCAGATACTCCGGGAGTTCAGAAAAGGGTTGTCTGTATGACCATGGGAACAGAGAAAGGGGAAAAACAAATCTCTAGGGCCTCGAGGCAACATGGCAGTATAGAGCACAGGACCTGGAGTCTGAAGGGACCCGAGTTCAAATGTCGCTTCTGGCACTTACTTAGCTGTATGACCACAGAGAACACATTTCATGTCTCAGAACCTCATTTTTCCCATGTGGAAAACAGAGCTTAATAAACCTCATCAAACCTACTCTGGGTAGTTGTGAGGGTCCAATGTGTGTAAAGTACTTTGTAAAGTACTTTGTGAGCCTTAAAGCATTTATATTTCAATATTTTCATGCAATAGAAAAAGATCTGGCTTTGGAGTCAGGCAGATCTGGATTCAAGTCCAGACTCTGACAAATACTGTGTGTGACCCTAGGCAAGTCACTTTTTTTTTTAGGCAATTTGGGTTAAATGACTTACCCAGGGTCACACAGCTAGTAAGTATCAAGTGTTTGGTCTGAGGTCGGATTTGAACTAGTCTCCTGACTGCAGGGCTCATGCTCTATCCACTGCACCACCTAGCTGCCCCAGCAAGTCACTTGACACCAGAGCTCTAAGTCACTCCCTAAGATCAGTGATTGTCAAAGTATGGTCTAGGGAACCCCCTCAAGGGTCCCTGTGACCCTTTCAGGGAATATGCAGAATCAAAATTATTTTCATAATGATACCAAGATATTTTAATTTCTAACACAGTAAATATCAGTAGATATGACAGACATAAACAAAAGCTCTGGAGTCCTCAGTAATTTTTGAGTGTAAAGGTCCTGAGACCAAGAAGTTGGAGAGAAGGTGCTGGCCTGCGCTGGTAGAAGGAATATTCTCCATGCTGATGAAATCACTGGGCCCAGTCCTTCTGACTCTTACTGTTATTACAGTGGTAAACCCCCAGGGGTTTGCTCATGAAGTGGGAGCAAGGAAATAGGGAGAAGTGGGGATACCGAGGCATCCCACAGGGGGAGCTGCTTCTCCCTGTCTAGGGTCAACCTGGAGCACAAAGACCATCCCGCCCCCTCCCACTAGATACAAGGGGCAATAGAGCTGGAGGAATCCAACAGCGAACTGTCCATGCATGGCCCAAAAGAGGCTTCTGCGGGTCCGAGGGATCCGGAGAAGGGCGTGGGAGGAGGGGTCTCTGTCTCCCTAAATTGCCGATGGCAGCTGCCTTGGCTGTGAGGGAGGGGTGCCTGGCTCTGGTGACCCTGGTCTCTGCCCCTCATTCAGGTGATCAAAGATCTGAAGGGCTCTGACTACAGTTGGTCATACCAGACTCCGCCATCTTCCCCCAGCAGCTCTGGCTCTCGGAAGTCCAGCATGTGTAGGTAAGTGTGCTTAACCAATGGGAACTCTGCCCTTTGAGTCCTGGAGGGACACGTGGGGGGGGGAGGATGGGGGGAGGGTGTGACCTGAGGGCTTGATCCCACTTGGCTTTTCAATCAAAGCTTGCCCTAAATCAGTTCAATTAGTTTACTCTGAGGCTCTACCAGGCACCTATGTATGTATACCAACGATTCTTAACTTGAAGTCTGGAAACTGTCTTTAAAAAATATTTCAATAACTATATGTCAGTACAATTGGTTTCCTTTGTAATTCCATGTATTTTGTTTTCTGCATAATTCTGAGAGGAGATCCCTGAGGCTCACCAGACTGCCAAATAGGTCCATCACAGAAAAGGTTAAGAATCCTCGGTTTACCGTGATCAGATTTCATTTTTCCATGTGTAGAAAAAATGTGCCTGAATAACATCATAAATGTATGTGTACACACATATATTTTTGTACACACACACACGCACACATGTATATGCACAGCTTCCAAGGTAGTGTGACCCAGTGCAGAAAACCTCTGGGGAAATCAGGAGAGGGCTTGTTTTGAATTCCAGTTCCGATGCTTATTAGTCATGTGAGCTTGGACAAGTCATTTGACTGCTAACTCCCAGTTACCTTCTCTGTAAATTGGGGGTAATAATACTTGCAATGTCTACCTCCCAGAATTGCTGTAAGGAAGGCACGTTGTTTACCTTAAAGCACCCTGAAAGTGCTAGTCATTATTGCTCCATGTATGTTATATTACATGCACAGAAACATATACAGCTATAACTAATACTACATCATGCTTCCTTTCATGCATTTTGGCCTAGTGGGCAGAAAGTTTTGCAAAGCAGTATCTTGCAACAATCCTGGGAGGTAGGTACTATTCTTATCCCCATTTTACAGATGAGGAAACTGAGGCAGGCAGCAGTGAAATGACTTGTCCAAGGTCACCCAACTAGTAAGTGTGAAAGGCAGGATTTGAATTCAGGGCTTCCTGACTCCAAAGCCAGCACTCTCCACTGCACTAGTTACCTCTGGGACAGAGGACCAGTTTGAGGGTCAGAAGATCGGGGCATTAGTCCAAGCTTCCTTAGACACATCTGGGTCACTCTGGGTGATTCCACTCCTTACTTAGTGTCCCTGCTTGAGTTTTATATCTTTCACATGGTGACCCCCCCCCCAATCTTTATTGCATTGGGATTGTAGAGCGAACAGAAGGCGTCAGATTGATCAAACTCGGGCATGGCCTTTGTTGACCCAAGAAGCAGTGGGACAAAGCCCCTGCTCCTGGCCCAGACCCTGTGGAGTAAGCCCCCAAGAGTGACCCCGCCCAGTCCTTTCCCAGATTCTCTCCTCCATCCCCTCCCTGTCCTTGACACGCTGTTCCGTGGCTCAGCAACTCCTGCCTACGATGCCTGTGTCTCGGAACCTGTTGTCTTACGCTGTCTTTTCCTTCCTTTGCCCCCCTTCTCTCCTCCCCACCTTGACTCCCCCTCGTCCCCCCTTTGACCGCTGTTACCACTCTTCCCCTCTTTACTCCTCCCCCACCGCACTTTTTTCCTCCCCCTCCCCTGCCATCCCCCTCCCAGCAGTGGTAACAGTACAAAGGGTGGCGCCCCATGGCCCGGCGGGTCCCAAACATACTCACCCAGTTCCACCTATCGCTACCGCAGCCTGGCGCAGCCAGTTAACCCCAGTACCCGCCTCTCCAGTGTCTCCTCCCATGACTCTGGCTTCATCTCCCAAGATGCCACATACTCCAAACCTCCGTCGCCAATGCCCTCGGACATCACCAGCCAGGTGAGGAGGATTGGTTTGGGAGGGCCAGGGCAGGGATGGGGAAAGGCGGGAGAAGACCCTCCTCTGCTTCTCTTAACAATGTAGAGAAAAAGGTATCCCAGTAAAATGCCTGCTCTGCCCATTTACTGGCTGGATGACTCAGGCACCTGTGACCCCTCTAAAATTTAAAGTTCTTTAAAACCCCTGTAGGCCTTCATTTTCTCATCTGTAGAGTAAAGGGGTTGGTCTAAGGTTCCTTCTAAATTTATGGTCCTAAAATCGCTGCTGGGGAAAAGGAGCTAGCCTGAAATGCCGTCCTAGAAGGATAGACGCTCCCCCTGGTGGCCAATAGGATAATTGGTTCCCCAACTTTGGCCATCCAATACAGATGGATGTACCTTGAATTGGAGGCAAATGAACACTCTTGGCCTTGGAGTAGAGAAAACTAGGGGTCAAGAAAGACAGCAAATCCAGGTCAAAGGAGACTTCTGGACTACAGAAAGCAAGAATAAAACTTAGGAAATAAGGAAATAATCTGGAAGGTGGAGGGCAAATGGTGACCAGGGGAAGTAGACATTAAGCTGACCCAGACTCCTAGAATCCTGGGAACCAAGGCCATCGTAGGGCACCTTCTCCAGCTGCTCTTCTCTATGTCCAAAGAAGGTGGTAGCAGTGATCACAGCTAGCCCTTCAATGGGAGGCATGTGTTTACGCCTTGCTAAGGAGAAGAGGCCCGCCAAGGGGAGGCAATTTTTTTCTCCACCCATAAGCCATTGAGAGGGTCTCTGGGAAGACCAAAGCTGGGATGAACTAGCAGCTACTGTTCCATGTAGAAGAGGATTCTTTCTGATTACAGGCGCGTCTGTCTGCTTGCATGTTCCAGTCCTTGGCTAGGCTCAAATTAACCCTTTGCTGGCACTCTAACTGTCCCCACTTCACAAGGTGTCACAATAACTTGACTTAAAGTGGGGGAGGGGCAAAGGGAGCAGTTCTGTGTGTGTTTGTGGGGGAGAAGGGGAATCCTGGACAAAAGACAACACACTCAACTCTACGCAGTCCTGACATACCAACGAAGCTTGGCTCAATGGCCAAGTCTCTGGGGAGACTCTCCTCTCCATTTCGGCAGAAGGGCCCACTGTACCTATGGGCCTGCCCAGGATGCTTTGAGATGTCAAGACAGAAAGACAGCCAAGTAGCTTCTTCTACCCTCTCCCCAGAGACAGAGGTTCCCATCCCTCTAAGGTCTCCCACACAAGAGCACGGCCCGTCCATTTCACTCAAGTCCAGGAGTCGAACTTCCTGACCAAGAGGAGCCAGACCTCAGGATGCAGAAGGAAACATACTTTTTTTAGACATAGTCGATGCTGGAATTTGCTTTGCTTGACTATGTCTCTCTGTTACCAGAGTTTTATTTTATTTTTTTTTCACTTAGGGAAGTGGGTACAAGGGAGGTATACTTTTTAGTTAAAAAATCAGTAAAGTAAAAGTTACATTTTTAAAAGATTAGGGGATGATGAGCAATATGACGAATCACAGGGGAGGGGCGTGGTCAATTAGAAGGACAAGAGGACCATACATGTTGTGTGGGCCAGTGACTGTGTCTGCAGCATGTATAAATTTAGAAAGAGGGGTATCCATGGCATTAGGAGTGAGTTGGGGATGGGTGTCTTCTGGGTTATGTTCTGCGTGCACAGGGTGCTTGAGCTATTTTGTTCACATGTGTATGGGCATACACATGACTGTGTGAATGTGTGTCCATGTATGTGACTTTCCCTCCTCCTTGGGATGGTGTGTGTCAGGTGGGTTTTTGCTGTGGACTGTGGCCTTGGCCCTAGAGCTCTGGGAAAGGTGCATCAGTGCATGTGCAAACACGTGTGTGTGTGTGTGTGTGTGTGTGTGTGTGTGTGTTGTTTATTCATGTGCGTGTCTCTGCTGCTGCATGCCCTCACCCTAACCAGGTTTATTCTCTCCTCCACTCTGCTGTCCTCCTCCTTCCTCCACTCTGCTCTGCTCCTCTCGCTCTCCGCGTGTATCTCTGGTGGACTGCTCCTGCTGGCTGCACCGCAGAAGTCCTCCAGCTCGGCATCCTCTGAGGCTTCGGAAACCTGCCAGTCAGTTAGCGAGTGCAGCTCCCCCACCTCGGTCAGTGTTGCCTCCAAGGACAGGCAGGGCGTGGGAAGGGAAAGGAAGGGCAGGAGAGCATTCTTGTCCTCACAGTGCTGCTCCTGGAGCAGATGCTTGGTGAAAGCTGTGTCCTCTTCCCCTCCTGCCCTTAGATCATCCCTCCTCCTCAAGAGTCAGTGGGGCATAGGGGGAAGGGAGAGGAGCTCCTTAGCCAGCACCAGCCAGGAGGTGGTTTCTGCATGCCATTCCCTCCATCCTTCCCCTCTCACTGCCATTAACCTGTACTCAGGCCCTGCCCTGGGCTGCTTGGGGACTACCTGTCCCACACCTCTCATCCCTCCCCTCTCCTGCCTGTGTTTCAGTTTATTGCTTTGTAGCCAACTCTAGAAAGGTCTCCTCTGTTGCCAGGCCTTGGGAGAACTGAAACAGGAGGTGAGAATAAGATGGGGGAATGGATAAGGAGGTGCTGATCTCCTAATGAAACCCACGGCCACAGTTCCTCTGAAACTGTCTCCCTCAGTAGCCCATCTCACTTCATCCCCCATCCTCTCCATCAGCTGCAGGACAGGTGAACCTGATTCATCTACCATATGCCCCAGCTTAGGCATCAAGATTCAGCTTAGGGGATGAGGAGATCAGGCTGTGGTCCATACATGGGCTTCTTGGACTTCCACCAGCTGACGGCCCTGTTCTTTTTGGTGATGTGAGCCATACTCTCTCAAAACAACTTTCACCTCCTCATCCCCAAAATAGAGGAGGGGTTTTTGGAGGGGTGGGTCGAGGAAGGAATTGACAGTGCTTTGGAAGCAGGCCGTTCTCAGGGCCAGCACAGATGAGGGCTCCTTCTTGAGGCAAGTGGGGGCACAGCCAGCTTTCCCGTGCCCTGCCATCTTCTTGCTCTAACCTTGATCCTATTGGCACAAGCCTGCCCACCTTCCTGTCACCCAATCTATAACTGTTCTCCCCACCTTCAGGATTGGTCCAAGGCCGGCCCATATGACCAGCCAATGGCAACCACTCTGCAGCGGAGGAAGGACCGAGTAGAACATCTGAGGGAAGCAGAAGGGGGCCCAGGCAGCGGGAGCTATCCCAGCATTGGTGGGGAAGAGACACCTCGACCCAGGATGTCCCCTGCAACCATCGCAGCTAAGGTACACCATCCCCTGAGGGGGCAACATTGGCAAAAGCAACCTGTGTACCCTCTGAACTGTGGAGATGCCCTGAGACCCAGGAGTCATTCCATGCACAGCTTCTCCCTGGCTCTCTTTTCCTTTGCCCTGAGCTAAGTGGTTGGCATATGAGGGTCAGAAGTATGGGAGGAGCCCCCTGATAAGAATGTTGAGACATCTGACTATGGGTAACCAGGTGGTGTGAGCAAGAAATCAGAGATGGGAGCTTAGAAAGAGGACAGTTTGGAGCACAGCAGTGGAAGAGGAAAAACCACAAGATCAAAATTCCTTTTTTTTTTAATTATCGAACATTTTTTCCTCCCTTCTACCTCCTCCTTCCCTCCCCCCACCAAAAAACCCGACCCTCATAACTACTAAACAGAGTCAAACAAACTAGCTCCCACATCGGTCTTGTCCAGAAATAGGTGTCTCAATCCGCATCTTAGTCTTTCTGTCAGGAAGTGGGTGACGGCTTCATCATTGGTCCACAGAATGATGGTTGATCATTAAACTGATCAGAATTCGCTGGGCTTTCAAAATTGTACATTTTTATAGTGTTGATCTTTTGTTTTGTTTTTTGGCAAGGCAATTGGGGTTAAGTGACTTGCCCAGTGTCACACAGCTAGTTAGTGTCAAGTGTCTGGTTTGAGACTGGATTATGAACTCAGGTCCTCCTGGATTCTAGGGCTGGTGCTCTATCCACTGCGCCACCTAGCTGCCCTTATAGTGTCGATGTTAAAGTAGAAATTGTTCTCCTGTTCTTCTCAATTGACTCTGCATCGGTTCATAAAGTCTTCCCAAGTTTCTCTGAAACCATCCCTTACATCATTTCTTAAAGCATAATAGTATTCCATTCTATCAAATTTGTTCAGCCATTCTCCAATTGATGGGTACCCCCCAAAGTTTTAAATGCCAGAAGTCTACGGGTCCCTTCAGAGGAACAGAGCAAGAACTCTACGTAGGTAGAGCTAAGGAGAAATATTTTAGTTTGTGAGGCTGAGGGGAGGAAAGAAGGAAGGACTGTGCCGTCAAAGTGTAGATGCAGACTCTGTGAGCAGAGTGCCAAAGATGTGGCCCGGGTGGGAGTGGGGTATAGACACGACCAAGGTCAGGGATATGATATCTGCAGGTTGGGGCAGCTTGCTACCTTCTGGTTTCTGGATTTGTCTAGACGAGCTCACCTTCATCCCACCTTGGCTCTTCTTTCAGCACGGTGAAGAGGTCTCTCCCGCTGCCAGTGACCTGGCCATGGTGCTGACGCGGGGCCTGAGCCTTGAGCACCAGAAGAGCAGCCGGGACTCCTTGCAGTACTCAAGCGGCTATAGCACACAAACAACCACCCCCTCCTGCTCCGAGGACACCATCCCCTCTCAAGGTACTGCTCTGGCACCATCGACGGGGCTCTTAGAGCAACAGGCGGAGGACAGCACGTAGTACCCGATGACAGTCAATATTGATCTAGCTTGTTAAAGTTTGCTAAGCACTTCATAAACATTGTCACATCTGATCTTCGCAGCAACCCTGGGAAGTGGGTGCTATTATAAATCTCCATTTTACAGATGGCTAAACTGAGACTGAGAGGGGTTAAGTGACTTGCCTAGGGTCACACAGCTACTAAGTGCCCGAAGCTGGATTCAAAAAAATGGAAGACACATTAGATTTGAGGGCAGAAGCTTTTAGGATCATAGACTTAGAGGTGATACAGGTTATGTAGTCCAATGCCCTCATTTTACAGAGGAGGAAACTGAGGTCCACAGAAGTTGAGTCAATCAAAAACCTTTTATTAGGGGCAGCTAGGTAGCGCAGTGGATAGAGCACTGACCCTGAAGTCAGGAGAACCTGAGTTCAAATATGGTCTCAGACACATAACACTCAACACGAGCTGTGTGACCCTGGGCAAGTCACTTAACACCAATTGCCTTAAAAAAAAAAAAGTTGAGTCTGGCAACCAGGTGCCAGACACCATAAGCACTGGGGATACGAAGAAAGGAAAAACTGCCCCTGCCTTCAAGGACCACACATTCTTTTGTTTTTTTAAGGGTTTTTTTTTTTGGTAATTTTTTTAATTTTAAACTTAAATACAAAATGAGAAAAGAAAAAAATTGCAATGTACACAGCAGACCATAAGAGAGGATTCAATATAAAGCAATAAATTTCCATTTCAAATATAACAAACACGACTCATGGTTTGCAAAGTTGCCCAGCTTTTCTTTGCTTCCTTGTTGGTTTTCTTTTGTTTTCTGCTGTGCACTTTGGACTTTATTTTTTCCCCTCCCTCCCCTCCCCAACCTAAAGAAAGCTACAATCAAGCATGGATAGGTAGATATCCAAATATACATCGATATCTATAAACATACACATGTAGACTCATATGCACTCACGTACATATTTGTAAGACTGTATTATGCTTATTTCCACTTGTCACTTGTTTCTCTGAAGGTGGACAGCGTCTTCCTTCGTAAGTCCAGGTTCTTCCATGTTTTTCTAAATCAACCAGATCATCACGTCCTACACCACAGCAATCTTCCAACCCAATCACATCCAATCTGAGAGACTGTCTAGGAAAGTTTTTTTTCTCCCAATTTTCTGCATTCCTTCTATTCTTGGCTACATGGGTTTTATTTATACAAGAAAATTTTAATTTAAAATAATCAAAATTAACCTTTTTACACTTCAACAATGCCCTCTCTTATAATATAGGTTAAGGTCTAATACTAAGGAGCAAAAATTCTAAGGGGAATGACTTCCCTGAGGTCAAAGAGGAAGCAAATGGTACCTAAGGGCTTTGACCACAAATCTAATACGTTTTCCACTATCCCGCTAGATTAAATTTTGGCTCTGCTCTGACTTTAGGCAAGTTATTTGGTCTCAGTTTCTTCATCTGTAAAATGAGAGGCCCAGACAAGTAATAATTTCTAATAATAATCTCTAAAAAATCTCTTCCAGTGTTAAATCCATAATCATATAAAGCAGGGGTTCTGAACTCTTTTTTTTTTTTTTGGTGCCATAGACCCTTTGGCAGTATGATGAAGCCTATGGACTCCTTCTCAGACTAATGTTTTTAAATGCATAAAACAAAACACACAGGATTACAGAGGAAAATTATTATATTGAAAGGCAGTTATCAGAATTTTCTTTTTTCTTTTTCTTTTTTTTTTTTTTTGGCTAAGCAGTGGGGTTAAGTGACTTACCCAAGGGTCACACAGCTAGTAAGTGTTATGTGTCTGAGTCCAGATTTGAACTCAGGTCCTCCTGAATCCAGGGCCGGTGCTCTAGCCACTGCGCCACCTAGCTGCCCCTCAGAATTTTCTTAAAACAAATTCATGGACCCCAGATTAACAACTCTCTATTGTAAGAAATGTTTGGAGATGTTGCCTTCTGAAGTACAAACCCAAATAACAGATGGAGAGAGGAAGTCAGTATCATGGCATGGGTAGGATGTGATTCACAAGGCCCTCCTTGCTCCATCCAGTCTCATCTCCCTGTGTTCTCTGCGTAAGAAAAGCTGGAGTTCAGCTTTGGTTGAGGGGGGGAGCTATGAAGAGCGTAGTGATGAGGGGGTGGATTCTATGTATATAGAGCCCTGAGGTGGTCAGGAGGTGAAAAAATTCCTAGCAGCAGGCCCTACCCATAACATGGCATCTAATGCTGAAAAATATAAGACCTATCCTAATATGTGCTGGGATGGGTGGAGATGAAGGAATGAAGAAGCTTATGGAAGGGGCTTTGTGTATCTTCAGCACCTAGGACAGTGACTGCCTTCAGGTGTGTGTGCTCATGTATGGTGACGCTGTCTTTCATGGGTGCCCCAGGTTCAGACTATGACTCCTACTCTGTGAACGGGGACGTGGAAGTCGAGGGGCAGAGTGAGTTCGACAAGTCTTCCACCATTCCCCGAAACAGCAACATTGCCCAGAATTACCGCCGGATGATCCAAACCAAGAGACCCGCCTCCACGGCCGGACTGCCCACAGGCATGGCCCTGCCTTCAGGTGCCCCGCCAGGCGTGGCCACCATCCGCCGCACACCCTCCACCAAGCCTTCAGTGCGCCGCACTCTCTCAAATGCTGGCCCCATCCCCATTCGCCCACCTATTGTCCCAGTGAAGACCCCCACAGTGCCCGATTCACCTGGTTACACAGGCCCCACCCGGGTGGGCAGCGAGGAGTGCGTCTTCTATGCTGATGATGCTGCCTCATCCCATGCCCCTGATTTTGCGAAGGCCTCCCCCAAACGGCTGAGTCTCCCCAACACTGCATGGGGCAGCACCTCTCTGGAGGTGGCCAGCTACCCAGGAGCAGGACAGTCTCTCTCAGCTGAGGAGGCTGAGGAAGAGCAGCAGCAGCTGGCAGCCAATCGCCATAGCCTGGTAGAGAAGATTGGGGAGCTGGTGGCAGGTGCCCATGCTCTGGGAGAGGGGCAGTTTCCCTTTCCCACTACCCTATCTGGCACCTCAGCGGAAGAGACGCCTCTACCACCCCCTGCCGCTTCGAGTGACCCTCCAGCTGAAGACATGCTGGTGGCCATCCGGCGTGGGGTGCGGCTTCGAAGGACCATCACCAACGACAGATCTGCCCCCCGCATCTTGTGATGTTGCTGCTGCCTCCCCGGCCTCCCAAGTAAGGGAGCCCTCATGGCTTGGACTGAGCAGCTGGGGCCTCGAGAGAGAGGAGTGAGGAGAGAAAAACAGTCGGGAGCTACATTAAATACAAAAGAAAAACAATAAAGGAGAGAAAAACAAAAGTTTTTAAAAATATACAAGGCAAAGCCACTTTATGGATAGAGACACAGAATCTAGATTAAAAAATTTAAACGAGAAAAAAACTTCTTTAACAAACCTTGGAAAGGCGGAGCCATTAGCCTTGAACTCTTCTGGAGTCTCTTTCATACTTTTCTCACCCCATCTGTTCCCTTCTCTTCTCCTCATCTCCTCGCCACCCCTTGCCTTCTACACCTCTTGCCCCTCCCGAGTGAGTGGTCAGGCCTGGAACCAGTAGCTCCACAGCTCCCCCTACGTTCACACCCATGCACACACACAGAGCTTCCCACAAAAGAAGGAAATGACTCACGGTCTTTCTCGGACTGCGTTCGTCATCTCGTCATCTCGTCCTCCAGCCGGGCCACTAGTCTGAGCCGCGGCTTGGTTCCTCCCTAACTTGCCTTCCCCTTCTCCTTTGTTCTTTCCTTCCTTCTCAATGTCTCTGCTCTCTCGATTAGCCAGGACGGCAGGAAAGGGAGAACATGAGGCCAGTAGCGCCTCAGCGTCATGGGGCCCACCAGCGGAGGTCTTTTTACTTCATTTGAGGGAGCAACAAGGTGGCTAGGGCCTGCCAGTAGGCTTCAGGGCCTCACTTTGGAGTCCATTATTGCCTTGGCCTCTGTAGCGATAGGCAATATGGCCTCAGGAACAGGAACCCCTGAGACCAAGCCTGTCAGAGGTGCGAGTAACCAGAAGCAGTCCTTGGTCTTAGTAGGGTCTTTTCGAGTCTACACCTTCCTACCACTCATCAGATGTATTGGTGGGCAGAATTGGTTCTTTCTGGTGGGGAAGGTAGGAGACCTGTAGGAGCTGAGGAAAACACTGGGAAAAGGAAAGCAATGTCCCAAGTGCTATGGAGAAACTCGGGTCCATGGAGGCAGTTGGCAATGTCTCTGAGGGAACCAGGTCTAATTGGAGCACCTTGTGACAGTAACTCTGGTGGCACTTTTGGGTCAGTTTCAGCCATCCTGTCACCCCAACCCAAGACTTGGGGTCGAGGGCTAGAGCTGTACAGAGGGTATGTGTGTTGGGAGGGGGTGGGGATTATTTTGTTAATATGATAATAAAATGAAGGCGATTATACCTGGGTGAAGATTGTGTGTGTGAATGGAAGGTATGGCTGTGTGTGTGTTGGCGTAAAAGTTGTATCTCTGCAGAGGGGTGTGTGTGTGTGTGTGTGTGTGTGTGTGTGTGTGTGTGTGTGTGTGTGTGTGTGTGTGCTGTGCACACACGTGTGACAGAAGCAGCTGAACTGTAGCCGTATGGGCCTTTGGCAGGAAAAGGGAAGTTGTATTTGTTGTTAGAAAGCCATGGAGTGGCTGCTATTCTCTCCAGTGACTGGAGTTTGGCCCAAAAGGTCGGAAGGGCCTGGGGGTCTAAGCTGTAGACCCCTGTGTGGCCCATGGCAGGGTTAGGGCAGTGAGGGAGGCAGGAGACGGGGGGGGGGTGATTACTGAAGATTGGCTTTGACCCTCTGTTGCCAGAGGAGATGCCATCCATGAAGACCCCATCCGTGGCTCTAGCCTTCCAAGCCTGTGCCAGGAAGCAACAGGGTAGTAGGGTGGGGGTGGCCTTGTCTGCCCCCATACAGTGCCAAAATATGTGCCCTATTCTAGGGCAGAGGCAGGGGTGGGGGCTCAGGCCGTGGAGAGAGTTGCTACAGAAGCTTCCACCTCTCCTCCCTCTTTGTTCCACCACTCCATAGTCTAAACAGGGTAAAAAGCATGTGAGATTAAGGCGAGAGGAGTGGGTCCTGTACCCAAGAGGAAAGTGTCCAAGGGGACAAAAAGGACTCAGGCTGCGGGCCCATCACCATCACCACCAGCTCCCAGAGACAGGGTCTTCAGTGGGTTTGGGAAAGCTGGTTTTTCCTTGTATCTCAACTGGTTGGGAATACATCTGAGCCTCACTCCTCCATTGCCCTTTGCCTTAGGAGCCCAAAGGCATCTTTCTTGTGCCATAAGATAAAGGGGTCCTTGGATTCATGGCAAGAAAACCAAATTCACCTGAATTCCCTTCCCTTTTCCATTGGGCACTTCAAAGGACATTATCTATGCTGGGGGCACATTTTCTCAGGCTTTGGGGGTGTCCTTTAAACCCAGTCTCAAGAGCCATCTGAAGCATTTCTGAGCTAGAAAGCATGAGGGCAGAGAGGAAGCTGAGGCCCATGAGCTCTGAGGCTGGAGGTCGAGTGGTGGTGATGCCGCGTAGCAGGTATTGAGGATGGCAAGGGGACAGAGAGCAAAGGTTGCTGAGTAGCCGGTTCGGAAAGCTTTGGGCAGGAGTTTGCTAGGCAGCTGGTGTGATGGGCCTGGCATTTTCACATGTAAGCTGATGGTTTGCGGTGGTGTGGCATGTGGGACGTGCTGAGGGCTGCAGCCAGTGAGTGTGGTTGGGGTGGGAAGGGGTGGGGTAGTGTGTGTGCTGAGGGAGGGGGGGTGTAGAGGAGCAGTTTTTTGGTGTAAAATGATGGGAAGTATAAGGGGTTCCTCTTCCTCTGTGCCTTCCCTTTCCCCGCCCCTGTGCTCCCTTATATGCCAGGAAAGTCATTTGACTGCTTTTCAGGGACTTTCAGGGGCCCATTTGGTCAGAAGATCCTTGCTGTAGCCTGTGCAAAGGCACCGGTCACTACTCCAAACTATTTACTTGTCCAACCATGCTGGAGGAAGGATACTCTGACCCACTGCCAGGGAGGATGTGTGGGTGTCAGGTTTTCCACTCTCTCACCCATTCTCCCTCTTGACCAACAGCGTTAGGGATGGCTCACTCTGTGGCTGCGGGGCAGAATTTTCCGCGGGGGGGGGGGACTCCAGCTCTGACCTTGGCCTTGTACTACTTTACTACCCTGAGTTCCTTCTTCTGAGTGTTCCATGCAAACAGAGAAAAGATATACCATGGCCGCCCCATTGCTTTTCTCCAGAATGTCCAGGGACGCTCTTATCCCTTGGTTAGAGACAGTGGGAGCCTCCTGTCCTCCTGTACGGCTTCAGGTGAGGGCTCTGCTGAGAGGGCTGGCAAGATACTGGACAGAATGAATGCTCTTTCCTCATTTCAACTCCTAAAGTAACACTTCTCTTTCTCTTGCTCTTTGACCCCTTTCAGTCAGGAATAAGAAATGTTCTTTCTTCCAAAAGGAAGAGAAAAGGCCCCCATCACCCTCTGCATGCCATGCTTTCCTGGAGTGATGAGATAGGACAAACTAGAGGAGAAGGCAATGCAGGAGAGAATCAGGAAAGTCACAGGGCCTTTAAAGATGCCCCCAAGTACTCCTCCCTAGGCTGAGCCCATCATATCCCCACTGCCCTGGAAGCACCCCTGGTGTTGTATATAGAGCTCCAATTCTGCCCTTGTTTTCGGGCTCTGGCCCAGCCCTGTCATTAGTGATTAGTAATAACCACATAGGCCCCGGCCCGCCAGCCCTCTCAGACCGGAGCCAACAATACCACCACACAGACTTTTTTTTTGTTTAGTTTGGGGATTTGTTTTTATTGTTCATTTTGTACAGAGAAAAATCCCTTTCAAAAGTGTCTTTTGACTGACGTAACTTTTCTGGTGCTGTTGTTAACCTGTTTCTTTTTTTAATTTATTTTCCCTTTTGCCCCGTACTTCTGTCTTCCCTTTGGCTCCCCTTTCCTCACCCGCTCCCCTACCCCTCTACCCAGCCATCGGTTCTTTTTGTTGGTTTGTTTGTTGGACTTTGGACAAATTATCCTTTTTCTCCTGCCCCACCATGATCCAGCCCTTGAGTTGAATAGTCACTGCTACAAGTAACAGACGCACTGTGAACACTCCAGTATTAATAAAAGCTGTACTGTAATTAACGAATGCCTCTTCGAGACTCCTGCCTGGCTTCCTGTTACTCAGCTGCTCTCGCCTCTATCCACCTCCTTTCTTCCCTCTGCCTTACTCCTCTCCGCGCCTTCCTCTAGGAAGATGGACACTTGCTTGGTCCTGGCTTCTTGGTTTCACGCTCTCCACTGCCATGCAAGGCACAGTGTCGGCTCAGTGTGGGGACTACATGAGCCTAAAGCACCTAGCTAGGAAATAATCAGAGCCATCCAGAAAAGGAATGGGTTATCTCAGAGGACTTCTCAGCAGAGCCGGGACGGCTATCTATCAGGTGGTCATGAAAGGTCACGAATCTGGCTAAGGCTGTTAGCACTCATGCCAGCTGCCACCCAGCATTACCTGCTGCTGCTTTTATGAAAAAGGTATAGCTAGGTCTGGGGGGAGGGAATCATCTTCATTTCCTGGGTTCCTGGGGCTGATGGCTCTCTCTGCAATATCCAAAGGTATCTGGAGTAGATAAAGCATTTATTTAGTACTTACTATGTACCACTGTGCTAAACATTGGAACATTGAGGACATATGTATATATGTGTGTATGTTTATATGTGTATATATACATACACACACATATTATGCAAACAAGAAACAAGACAGCTCCTGACCTTGAGGACTTTACATTTTAATGAGAGATTACATAAAGGGATACTAGAAAGGGGGGAGGAGAATATTAGTAAAGAGGCCTGGAGAGGAAGGCACCTTGTAGCCTTGTTCCTGGCCAGATAAGACAAAAAACTGGGGGGTAGGGCAGGGAGGAGCCCAAGAGTGGAGCCCTGGGATCTCTAGAAGAGCGCAAGCAAGATGTTGAAGGGACTCTTCAGTCCACGCCACATAAGATCTGTTGAAGGAACTAGAAATGTTTAGTCTGGACAAAAACAAAAACAAAAAAACTTGGCATTGAGGGACCTGGGGGAGGGAGGAGAGAGAAGTTACAAAGACTGTCATGGAGATCTTCAGGTATTTCAAAAGGCATCGGGTGCTTAGCTCCAGAGGGCAGTAGTAGGAACCTTTGATTAGTGGCTGCAGAGACTCAGATGTTGGCTCTCAGTAAGGAAACACCTGACCTCTGGAGCCATCCCAAAGTGGAATGGGCGCCAGACCAGTGGACGAGAAGGGAACTTCTTCCCTGGACATCCTTGACAAAGGGACACAAAGATGCACAGTTTATCAGGCAAGAAGCATTTATTAAGCATCTGCTATGAGCCGGGAACTGTGTTAAGCACCAGGGATACAAAAAAAGGCAAATGGAAGTCCCTGCCCTCAAGGAGCTCACAGTCTAACGGGAGATACAGGAAGCAAACAAATATGTACAAACAACCTATAGACGGGAGAAATAGGAAATAATTAAAAGAGGGAAGGAAATGGAATGAAGAGGGGTTGGAAAAGGCTTCCTGTAGAAGGCAGGATTTGGGTCGGATCTTAAAGGAAGCCAGGGAAGGCAGCAGGTGGAGACGAGGAGGGAGACCATTCCAGGCATGGGGACAGCCAGAGAAAATGCCCAGAGCTGAGAGATTAAGTGTCTTCTTCATGGAACAGCAAAGAGGTCAGTGTCACCAGAGAGAACGGTGTATGTCGAGGAGGAAGGAATCGGAAGACTGGAAAGGTAGTAGGGAGCTAGGTTATGAAGGGCTTTGAATGCCAGAGGATTTTGTATTCGTTCTTGGAAGTGATTGGGAGCCAATGGAGTTTATTGAATTGGGGCCGGGGGGGGGGGTGACCTGTGCTTTAGGAAAATTAATTTGGTGGCTGAACGGAGGATAGACTGGAGTGGGGAAGAGATGGAAGGTAACAGACTCACCCACAGCTATTGCAATAATCTAGGCATAAAGTGATGAGAACCCGCATCAGAAGGGTGGCAGCATCAGAGAAGGGGGCATATTTGAGAGATGATGCAAAGGTGAAATCAACAAATCTTGACAACAGATTGGATATGGAGGGTGGTGAGAGATGATGAGGAGTCCCAGACTACTCCTAGGTGTGAGTGTGAGGGACTGGGAATATAGTGTTACCCTCAACAGTGATAGGGAAATTAGGAGGTTTCAAGGGAAAGATGAGTTGTCACAGACATACCGAGTTTAAGATGTTCATCAGACATCCAGTTTGAGATGTCTAAAGAGCGGTTAGAGATGTGAGAGTGGAGGTCAGTAGAGGCTGGGGCAAGATAGGTAGATTAGAGAATCATCAGCATCGACGGTAATTAAATCCATGGGAGTTGAAGAGATCACTGTGTAAAGTAGTACAGAGGGAGAAGAGAAGGAGCCTAGGATAGAACCCTCTGGGACACCTACAGTTAGAAGGTGCGATCTGCAGGAAGATGCAGCAAAGGAGAGTCAGAAGGAGAGGTCAGAGAGGGAGGAGGAAAACCTAGAAAGAAGAGAGCACCAAGGATTAAGGTGATTACCAGTGTAGAAGGCCAAAGAGAGGTCAAGGAGAATCAGGATTTGGCAATTAGATCATTGGTAACTTTGGAGAGAGGAGCTCTGGGGAATGATAAGGTTGGAAGCTGGATTGTAAAGGATTAACAGTGACAGGAGAGGAAGTGGACACACCTCTTGTAGACAGCCTTTCTGAGTTCAGCTAAAAAGGGCAGAGGAGATACAGGGTGAAAGTTAGCAGGGATGGAAGGATCAAGTGATGGTTTCTTCAAGATTGGGGAGACATGGGCATGTTTGTAGACAGTAGAGGGAGAGGCTGAAAATAAGTGGAAAAGTGAGGATGGCAGAAGGGGCAATCCATTGGAGGAGATGGGACAGAATAAGATCGCTTACAGGTAAAGGCCTTAGCAATAGTAAGGCCACTTCATCATGTCACATGGGTAGAGGACAGCGGCAGAAGGCATACGAGTGACGGGAGATGAGGGAGCTCACGGCAAACGGCCTCTGTTTTTTCCATAGAGTATGAGGCAGGGTTCTCAGTCGAGAGAATGGGTGGAGGGGGATACATGGGAGATTTGAGGAGGGAAGAGCTTAAATGAGATCATATTTGCTATATACTCAGCACTGTGCCTGGCACACAGTAAATGTTTGTTCCTTTCCCCTTTGCTTGGCAGCCTCGGCTGTCCACTGAAGCTCTTGGGAGGGGGGGAGGTTCCTGTCCCTCTGAGGGAATGTGTATCAGGCTTTCCACTCCAAATGTGAACATCTGGAAAAATGGATCAACTTCCAAGGGGAAACCAAGGGTGTAACCCCCCCACCAGCAGAGTAAGCAAAGCCCCAAGAAGTTGTATATGATCTGACAGAACTGCTCCCCTCCCCCAAGAGTGGGTAAAGTTTAGCCTCCAGGAAGGCTCCCCAGCCTCTCCTGAGCTATGAGCATCTTCTTGTCCTACTGAGGTCAAAAAAGAAAGCTGGGGCAGGGGAAGATGAAAGACACTGGGGAGACCTAGAGGCCAGGCCATGGTAAGTAGAGGAAACAAGGTACCACGGAAAGAACCCTGGGTCTGGAGTCAGAGAACCTAGATTCATTTTACAACCTGTGTGACCTTGGGAAAACATTTTAAACCTTCTGGGCCTCAGTTTTCCCCTCTGCAAAAGAAAGGGGTTTATAATGGACCATCCCTCCAGCTCCAAATCTCTGATCCTATAAAAGAGTGTTGGAGGAAAAACCCTCCTGTCCTGCCTGCTCACAGCCTGGCAGAAGCTGACACGTCACCACCAAAAAAAGGGCCTAAGGAAGAGCACTGCACCCCTGCCCAGCTGCCTCATTTGGGTAAACACAAAGTCACAAATCAAATAAAATGAAAAACAAGTATTTAATAGGAAAAAAAATTAAAGAAATGGAAAAGAATCAGCATGGCAAGACATGGCATTTTAATACACCCCATTCCTCCTTCCCAGTCCCCAGGCTGTTGTCTCCAGTGAGGGCAGCCCCTCACTCCAATCGCCCACTCCCAGCCCCCAACCCCCAGAACCCCTGGCAGATCCCAAAGGCCAAGGGGGGCAGCAGCCCCAGAAGCCAATGAGATGCTCCTCCCTGAGCATCCTGGAAGCAGTCCTCAGGGGATGGCAGCTCTCAAAGAGCAGTGACCCCCCCCCCAGTTTTTCTCCCTTCCCAGAACTCCACCACCATCCCCAATCCAGGCCAAAGGCCTTTTGACGGGCCTGCAGCAAACTGGCCCAATGAGCTTCTCTGCCAGCCTTTCTGGGAGTCCTTCTTTGACCTTGGAACACTAGCACTCCCTTCACTCTATAGAACATGGTTTTCCCTCTCTGAGATAGGTCCTCCCAACTGCGCAGGCGGCATTCTCCATCAGTAGGTAGGCTTGTAGCAACCTCACCAGCCTTCGAGTTCCTCCTCTTCCAGGTACCTCCTAGCTCTCCTGGAATAGCACCCCAGGCCACCAGCTCTGGAGAACAGCTAGTGGTGTCGTTACAGAAAGTTTGCTCCCCTCTTCTTCCATCTCAGAAACAGCCCTACATTTCCCCAGTGTTCCTTGGGCCCAAGGAGCTCAAAGCACTTTTACAACATTCCCCTTCCTGCTTTTGGTCTCTGCCCTTGGAAGGGAGGCAGATGGCAGGGACGGATCTTATTTTTACTGAAACTGAAGGCACAGACTCAACTGGGAGCTAATCTGGGGTCAGAAGCTCAGGCTGCTCCCCCCATCAGCCACTCCTCAGCTTTATTACCATTGACTGCACACTCTGCCCCACTCCACTGGGGTCTGACTCAGCTCTCTTGGTACTGAGGAACCCCACATCTCTTCATTCTGGCAGGGGCCTGGGATCTATTTCGCAACCATGAAGACAAGGGCTAAAGCAGACAAACAGGACAGGCCTGCTCCATAGGCAGAGCCCTCTGCCCTGCCTATGGGAGCCCATGGGAGGGGCTGAGGCCTGACCACACCAACTTCAGTCACTAAGGGCTTCTGAGGCAAAAGGAAAAAGAGAGAGAGACTAGGCTCGAGGGGATAAGTAAGTGAGAAGACAGCCTAGCTCTTCTCTGGCAAGATCTCTCCAGAAGGAAGAGGGGCTTCTTCTCTG